CGATATTTGCGGGAAGTTTTACTTTTCTGTTACAATTCGAAAAAAATACAGCTGAAGCGCATCGAATGCTCTCAGAAACTTACGGTGATGCTGCTCTGAGTGAAAGAACGTGTCGGGAGTGGTTTCGACGTTTTAGAAATGTTGATTTCGATGTCGAAAACAAACATGGTGGTGGAAGAGAAAAAACCTTCAAAGATTTACTACGAGCTCTTAAAACCGGGTGAAACCATCACAGGAGATCGCTACCGAACGCAACTGATGCTCCTTAGTCGCGCGCTAAAAGAAAAGCGGCCACAATATCAAGAGCGACATGACAAAGTCATCTTCCAACACGACAATGCTCGGCCTCACGTCGCAAAAGTGGTCAAAAAGTACCTGGAAACGCTGAAATGGGAAGTCTCGCCCCACCCGCCGTAGTCTCCAGATGTCGCCCCTTCTGACTTCCAGCTATTCCGTTTGATGGCACACGGCCTCGCAGATCAACATTTTCAATCCTTCGAAGAATTGGAAAAATGAATTTCTTCATAGACAGCGTCAAAAGAGGACTCCTTTTTTCGAGCCGGGATCCGAAAATTGCTGTAATTATGGGAGCAAGTTGTCGCTAGCGAAGGACAATACTTTGAATAATATATCTGTAAGCACTTTTTCGCACTAAAGCTTTTTTTTGAAAAAAAAAAAAAAACGGCGGAAGCAAAGTTGTACACCTGATACTATTCGATTTGTTCACCTATTAGAATACGTTTTAATCCTAAATTGTCTACCATGAATTTGATATCGCGTCTTGAAAGGTCTTTTCTGGTTGTACTTTATATTTTTTTATATCTTTTAATTCTTTTCTGCACTTGCACTTTACATTTTGTACATTTGCCACTACTTTTTTGCCTTCTACTTGCAGATATTATTGGTATTATTTTTATTTATTTCTTTTTTTGCGCTCAACTTCTGTGCAGCAAGTTTGTGTCTTAAGTCTTTTAGTTTGCGTGCCATTCCTTTTTCTTGTTGTTTTCCTTAAACATACGTGTATGTATGTTTGTGTGACGCATTTTGATTGAGCGCATCTGCAGTAGTCAAACAGGAAACTGTCTGCTGCGTTATGTGCGCGTATATTTTATTTGGCTGAAATATTGCCGACATCGTGGCTGCTGTTGTTGTTGTTGTTGTTTTTTCAGCGTTATTGCTGTTGTTAGTGTCTTCTTTTTTTTGCCTTCATCTTGAACAAAGTTCAATTACAATTGAGTTGGTAGCTGTTTGAAAAAGTGTCTGCTGCTTCCTTGAGATTTATATGCCATTCAATGCACACAAATGCACTAGCACACTGACATATCTACATACATACATGCATACATGCATAGATGCATACATAGACATATGGGTTATTTGCATTGCTGCATCTACCTTCCGTCGTCAGCATTCATGCGCACAGCGTTTTATCCAATTTTGTCGATTGCCAGCAGCAAATGCATGGAGCCGCCGCTGCAAATGATCTCATCGGGCCACCAGCGCTAGGCAGATGATACTCGTACTCTGGTGTTGATTGGTCGCCAATGATAAAAGTTGAGGAAATGCAAGTTGATGAAGGCATTCTGCTTTTTTTTTTGGTTTTTTTTTGGTGAATATTTGTGGTTTTGTTTTTGGTTTGGATTTTTTCGCTCAGTCCATTGCTAGATAAATTTATTTTATTATTTTCCATTCAATTGAATTTATTTTACAACAATTTTTATTGGAACTTCCGTCATGTTATACATTTCAATTTCTTTTCTAGTAAATTTTAATTAAAATGAAGGAAACTGCAAAATCATCTACTAAACACTTAAACACTAAATCCATCCTTCGATGAGGAAAAAACAAAATTTCATAAAAGACAAATTAAAAAAGACTTAATTTGAGTTGGCTCTGTTCAGCTGCTCCTTCGATGCAGTGTCATTAATCGTAGCTAAAATAGTAATAAAGGGTAAGGTAGTAGATCGAGCTAAAACAGTGCGTCATTCCTTCCTCCCTTGCGCTGTTTGACGCAAATTGGAAATACGGAGTGCAGCCCTTCCTCTTTCCCTGCTTCCACTAGCGAATACGGCGTCGTATACTTTTAAAGAAGTATTGCTTTAATCCATTCGTTCTACATCGATGTCATTGTATATTTCACACAGCTCGTCATACCATCGGTTGTGGTATTCGCCGTTCCAAACATTTTTCTCAAAAACTCCCAAAGCTGGCTCCTCGGATGATGAAAGCATTGTCCACATTTCTACACCATATAGCAAGCGAGTTGTAGAGCTTGGTTTCGGTTTGTCAAGAAAAGACTCTACTTTTCATTCCCTTACTCAGTTCAAGGTAGCACCTGCGGGCAAGAGTTATTATGCGTTGGATTGATGACGCTCCCCGCATGCACTTTGAATATCCGTTCGCTTCCCTTGGAAAAATGCCTCTGCAAGGATGGTTGCTGCCCTAATAAAACTAAATCCCGGCATCCAAGAATTACAATGTACGGGACAAGGTAGTTACTTGTGAAATTTTCAAAAGCGTTCATCGCCGGCTACTAGCACTCACTCCGTGGATGAATATATCGCCGCCATCCGCATAAAAGCGAAAATTTTAAAATTATTTCGAATTTGAGCCCACACCCAGTAGAAAAAGGGACAATGCAACTCACCAAAGAAGAAGGAATCATGGGCAGAACTGTCGGAAAAAAATTGGGTTTAAGCTGATCGACCTCGCCGGAGCCCCAAAACTGCTTGTCTGTAGTACTAGATTCCAGCACAAAAAAAGCAATCAGCAAGCACTCACTGAGTTTTTCGATCTGGAGATTGCCAGGCATGTTGCGATAGATGGAATATATATATTCAGTGTGTTAGATGTACGTACGTTCCAAGGTCCTAATATCGACTTGGATCACTACATTGTCGTTGCGAAGTTAATCACCGTATCTATGTATCAAAGCTCCCATCCCATCAACAAATACAAGGGAGATACGTGTATGACTATGAAGAGCTTGCCCGTTTAAAGTACAACTAAGCAGCTGAAGCTGATGGTATACGCATAAAAGTCTAAAGTCCACCGCCAACCGATCGATTGAACCTTTTCAATGTGGCTTTGGGTCTTATTAAGCCTCCCCTGACCACATATTCACCATGTACCAAATCTTGGAAAAAAAACCGTAAAAAGAGCATCCGACACACACAACCTCTTCGTCGATTTTAAGGTACCCTTCAGCTACCTCTACGCCGTTATGAGTCGGTGTTGAAAGTTTCTTTAATAGAAATTTTGTGAACGACAGATGGTCCCTTGCAGCTGATGGAACGATGAGTTGTACGGGATAGATATGCGATGATATTAATACAATCCAGCTAATAAAGAGTAAGCGGTCCAGCTGGCTTGATCTTGTTGTTCGAATAGAAGAAAACACTCCTGCTTAGAAAGATTTCGATATGAAATATACGCTGTCGCAAGCAAAAGAACGCGAAAGGAAGCGTCAGGTGCAGAGCGACCTGTTTTCATTTGATACGAGGTGTGACAATTTAGTAATCCGACTGATAATATTGCCGCGTTTGTGGTAACCCTGACCTTAAAATGTCCTTTCTCTTCTCCCGGCATCATTTTCCTCTTCATTGAAATATTTGACATCGCTCTAGCTTGTTTGGTTCGCCTGCTGTGTAGTGTTGAGTAAACGAGTGGTGCTCGTCACGAAAATGGAAAATTATTTTGATTATTGCCTTTTTTGATAGCCGTGGAATCGTCCACAAAGAATTTCTTCCACCTCAGCAAACCGCAAATCAAGTCTACCATCGAAAAGTACTCGAAAGATTGCGAAAACGAGTCAACAGGGTGCGCCCAGACATCGCTCGTAACTAGATCCTCCATCACGACAATGCGCCGAGCCATACCGCCCACTACGTGTTCCAGTATTAGGCCACTAAAGGGATCACCGTGTTGCAACAACTGCCTTATTCGCCCGATATGTCAGGGACAATGCAACCAAACAAAGAAGAAGGTATCATTGGCAGAACTGTCGGAAAATTCAGCCGCTGCGATGAATTATTCCCAATTGGGTTTAAGCTGATCGACCTCGCCGGAGCCCCAAAACTGGTTGTCTGTAGAACTAGAATCCAGCACAGAAAAAAAATAACCAGGAAGCTCCATATCGGTGGTCAAAGGAATCCATTTTGAGTCGTTTGATGACATTCAGGCGGCCGTCACGAGGGTTATCCAGTCGAAACGTACCTGAAATGTTGTGAAGCATGGAAAACACGCTGGAATCGTTGTAAATTTAGCTGTCCGAGGGTACTACTTTTAAGGGGATGGCAGAGTTGTTGAATAATTTTGAAATATACGGTTTTTATGGAATCAGTCTCAGTCTCATTACTTAATTATCACACCTCGTATTTCCAACAGGCGCCAAACAGCGAAGGCAAGGCACACAAGGCGCTCTATTGTGGATTTGGCTATGCGCAGCCCATGCCAGTGAAGAAGAAGCAGACGTAAGATAATAAAGTATATTTTGTTTCCGAAGCCAGCCGATTGTTTGTGAGATTTTTAGAACTATTTCCAGGTAATCTCGTAGCCTCTTTTGAACACTTTCATTTACTTTTTTACTTCAGAATACCTTCGCACTGATTTTCGTGGCGACCACTATAACTACAGGGCACCCACAATGTCATAAAAATCTTCAAAGAAGAAGAAGAAGAAGTCTATTTCTATTATAGCCATATTTATAAATAAAACAACAACTGATTTTTACAAACAATTTTTTATTTTTTTACATTTTTTGTATGTACATATTTTTTTTTATCGATTTACAACAATTAAATTTCTTAAACTTTTGTTTACTAAAATCTAAAAAATTATAAAGTAATACTTACGCCCATTAAGGCCATTAAATTCGGGTAAAAAGGTGAAGTGATGAAAAAAAAAAATAATATTGCATGGCCTTAATGTGGGCGAAGCACCAAAATCCAAAAAAAAATCGTTGCTCACAACAAAAACAAAAATTCACAAAATATAAACAAAAATTCAAACAATTATTATTAACGTATGTATGTATGTATATAAAATAGCAATAAAGTGATGTATAGCATCATGACTAATTTGTACACGTCAAAATTATGTAATAATAAATGAAAAGTGATTGAAAAAATGATCAAATAGAAGAGAGAAAGACAACATAAAGTGCTGCGAAAAAAAGACGATGCTGCCACACCGGATAACTGTACATACAAGTATACAGAAGAACGATGGGCGCGCATTACGACTTGCTGACAGTTGTATGAAAAAAGAGGTGAGCGCTTCATATTTACACAGATAAATAGCGGAGTATGGAAAATGTGAACACACACACAGCGCTTTCTGTTGGCTCAAGCGCTGGAACGGAGCTTACATTGGCTTAACAATCATCTAATCAGTCAGTGCACCTGCACGTCCGCTCCTTTTAATGTACCTTCTTTTGCATTTGCTTCGGCTTCGTAGAAACTTCGACTGTGTTTATATGTATGTGTGTGTGTGTGTGTGTGAGTGAGTGTATCTTAATGCCAACGCATACGCTTATTAACAATTAGTGGGGTTCTTATGCACCAGTCACATTGTGACGGGCGCGCTCAGTCCCAACCATGACTGGCTGGCACCCACACCTTCTCCCACACTGGCTTCCACACACGCTTCCATTCCTGTACTTTAACCTCCTTCCACACGGGCACCTGTATGGCCTTCCACTCGTCCTTCCACGCCTGCTTCTTTTCGGTGGCCCACGCTTGCTTCTTCTCTGTACGCCAGATTTGTACTTTCTCCTCAACCCATGTCTCGCGCTTCTCTTTCACCCAGATTTGCTTTTTCACTGGCTTCCAGATTTGCACCCATTCGATTTTCCACTCCAATTTCTTGTCGGGTTTCCATGCTTGCTGTTTCTCAGTCTTCCATTCTTGCACCTTCTTTGTTTCCCATTCTTGTTTCTTTTCTATTTTCCATTCTTGCACCTTTTCGGTCTTCCATTCTTGCTTCTTTTCTGTTTTCCATTCTTGTTTCTTCTCCGTACGCCACACTTTCTTCCATACCGGCTTCCAGATGAGTTTCTTACGCCACAAATCGTGACTTGTATACTCCCAACCTTCGTGATCTTTGCCCAAGTACTTCTCGCCGGGTACACCCATTTTCACCCATTCGGGCACAAACATTTGCTTCCAATCGGGCACTTGTATTTCCTTCCAGACGGGCACCTGTATGTCACGCCAAATGGGCACTTGTATTTCCTTCCACACCGGCACTTTCACTTCTCGCCATACTGGCACTTGGATTTCCTTCCAGACGGGCACTTGTATCTCACGCCAGACTGGCACTTGGATTTCTTTCCATATTGGTTTTGTGATTTTCTTCCACTCCGGCACCTTTTCTTCCTTCCAGGCGGGCACTTCACGTTCTTCTATATGCGGTTTCTTGATGATTTTCCAATCGGGCACTTGCACTTCCTTCCAAATGGGCACTTGTACTTCTTTCCAAATTGGTACTTGAATTTTCTTCCATTTGGTTTCCCAGGCCTCCTTCTTCACGGTCTTCCATACCTGCACCCAGTCTTCCTTCCACGTGAGCTTCTTCTTCCACACTCCTTCGGGCGGGTGGGCATATGTGAGGCTTACAATAAGCGCGCAGCTGGCGCCCAGAAGCTGTAGGGCGGGAAAATAAAAGAGAAAGAGACAGTTTTTACATTAAAATGTGAAGTTAATATATTATTTTTTTTTTTTACTTTAAAAACCTAACAATCATATTTGCCATCAGACCTTAATATCGCGTTTGAGTCATTTTTTATCGATAACTTCCTTCACGAAGAAAAGTGATTATTTTAGAATTTAATAATTTTTAAATTAAATTTTCTTGGAAATAAAAAAAAAAATATAAAAAAATGTTTATCAGCAGATTTAATTGAGAACACAACAAAAATATTTGGAGGAATGAAAAATAAGTTTGTTGAGAAATTAAATTATGGATTGAGTTCGATTATTTGATATTGATATTGATATTGAAATAATAATAACGAATAAGGACAATAAATAATAGGAATAATTTTTCACGTTAATTTTTGATTAATTAAAAAAATATATTTGAATTATTTTATAAAAGTCCAAAAGGAATTCTCATTGACATACATACATATATATTATGATATGTGTAAGCGTATTTAAAAATTAAAAAGTTTTTCGGTTTGAATTAGTGACTTTAAGAGATAAATATTAACAGATTTATTTATGAGCAAATATCGAACGAAAGCTTATTCTGGCAAATCTTTTTTTGATCTCTATCAAAGTCAACAAATTTCAAATAAATATTTTTAAACTTTCTCAAGATTTTTTAAAATTTTCATAGTGACCAAATAAGATTCTTCGTTCTATTAATTGTTATGCTATTAATTAATTTTTTTTTTATTAAATAGATTATAATTTCTTATTTTTGTTTATATTACTTTATTCTATTTAATTTAGTTTCATTTTATTTTATTCTGTTTTATTTTAGTTTTTTCTTTCCAGTTTTATTCCTTTTATTTTATATTTTCAGAATTAATTTTATTTCTTCATTTTGTTTCATTTCGTTTTATAATTTTTTTATGATTTTATTTAGTTTTAATATATTTAATTTATTATTTTTTTTGTTTCATTTTACATTATATTTTATTTCATTTTTAATTTATTTTTATTTATTTTATTTTATTCTATTTTATTGCATTTTGTTTTATTATAGTTTATTTTACATTTACATTATAACATTTTTTATTCATTTTACTTTATAATATTTTTTCAATTCATATTTATTTAATTTCAATTTATTTCATTTTTTATATTTTTGTACATTTTATTTTAGTTTATTTTCTTTTTCTGAATTTATGTCATTTTATATCATTTTTCTTAAAAAAGACTAATTTTTTTCGTTTAGTTTTATTTTATTTCTTTAATTTAATTTAATTTAATTTAATTATTTTTGCCTTCTTTCTTTTTATTTGATTTATTTTACTTATTTATTTTTTAAATCTATCTCGTTTTCATTTCATTTTTTTCATACTTTATTTTGTTTCATATTACTGTATTCTACTATACATTTTATATACTTAAATTTCATTTTGTTTCATTTTATTTTTTTCATTGTGTTTTAATTTATTTTACTTTATTTTTTTTGTTTTCGTTTATTTATCTTAATTTCGTTTAGTTTTATTTCATTTCTATTTCATTTCCATTATATTTTGTTTTATTTTAGTATTTTTAATTTGGTATATTTTTTATTTAATTTGTTTTTATTTTATCTTATTTTATTTATATTTTTATTTTATCCGACTTTATTTATTTTTTTAATTTGCTTTACTTTTCCGATTTTATTTAGTTTCACTCTACTTCATTTTAATAACAATTTGTGTAACTTAATTTAATTTAATTTTACATATTATATATTTAATTTGATTTTCTTCTATTTGGTTGAATTTTATTCTATTATTTTCATTTTTTATGTTACTTTAATTTTTTTTTATTTTTTCCTGTTTTGTTTTATTTTAGTTTCCTTAAATTAACTGATTTTTATTTTGTTTATTTAATTAAAGTTTTAGTTATTGTTGTTTTTATTTATTTTATTTATGGTATATAATTTTTTTTTAATTAATACTTTAAAAATTATTATTATTTATTTTAATTTAATTCGGTTTCATAAATTTTTTTTTCATTTTATTTTACATTTCCAAATTTAGTTTGGTTTAATTTTTCTTAACTTTTTTGTTTTATTATTTTTGTTGTATTTTTTCTTATTATATTTATTTTATATTTGCCTTTTTCCTTTTAACTTATTTTGTTTTACTATTTTTATGTATATTTATGGCATTTGACTTTTTTGAAATTTATTTTATTATATATTTTTTATTTTATATTTTTTTTATTTTTTTTTGTTAATTTTTTATAGATTTCTGCTCAATGCAGGATTTTTTCGAAGTATTTTTTTCTTTATAATTTCACTATTTAGCAGACAGCTTCGTAAATATTCTTCACTTCATTTTCCGTTTTTTTTTTAAAGTCACTGAGCAAAATATATTCTCATAAATGCATTTCCTTGCCACATTATTAAATTTTTTTTCATTAAATTTTATTTCCTAATTTTTGAAATTTTTATAATTTTCTATTTCCTAAGTTTCATTATTTTGGCTAGCAAACACCCACCAGTAAATTTAGGGATCTCATCGCTTGAACCCCTTGCGTCGCGTTTAAAGGCGGAAACTGTTCAACACCAGTGAATGTGTGCCTCCGTTGAGGTCTTCCAAAAACACTACCCACATTTCTCTGCTGCACATCTATTTATATTTTGGAAAACAAAATTCGTTGAAAACCCTCGAAAGCAGCAAAGCCAGCGACAGCAAAGTCAAGCCAAAGCATAACAATAACAATGCAATCGAAAGCAGCGGAATCAGCAGCAGCTGCAATGAAATGAGCGCAAACTTTAAATTAAAACAACAATAAAAGCTTAACTTCATACTCAGCTGACAATGTTACCGGCTAAAATACTTACAACAAACACACAACGAACGTTGCAATCGCTGATCTCAGCTTCAAGCGCTCGGTCAGGTCAGTCTCTGGTGGTGCGCTGCCACTGCTGCTGCTGCTGCTGCTGGTCAACGTTTGCAAGTCAACTAACAACGAGTTACCAACGGAAAAGTTGCCGAAATCTGCGATTGGTCCGAACCTACCGCAATGGCGCGAACTGCACGCGTTAAAGTAACGCCAACAACAATAACGCAAAGTCCATATGCGCGAAATTTGGCCAAAAGCATTTGGTTTCATTTGTGGATCGAAATGAGAATTCAACACACACGCCGGCGTCGAAGAGATAAAACTGCAATTGTGTTTCAACACTAACCCACCACACCTCGATTGAGCAGCGGCAACAGCTCCAACACCTCAGCTCTATCGAGAGTGAGAGTGAAATACACCAACAAGCTCAGTCAACCCGCTCGCAAGGCTGATCGTTGGCGTCTAAATAAAAGTGAGAGTCGTTCAATTTAAAACTGCTCTACCGTTACGACTGCGTCTGAAGTTCGGTGCGTCGGCAGTTAATCGCATCGATGATAACACTCCTTCGTTGTCGTCGTCCGTTGTCAATGCCGTTGCCGAAATGCTGAAGTGGTGGCATTAACACCAACTCTGGCGTCGGACGCCGCACTCTTCTGCGTGTAGTCAACAACGGCGCACCTTCGCCACTTGAAACGGCATGCACAATTTAATATGGAATTAAGTGGAGTGAAGTGTTGATGACGTAGAAGGTGTGTTGAAGTGGAGACGGGTGGAGATGTTCGGTTTGGCGTACGAAATGATGGATGGTGTGTTGTAAGAAGAAGGTCATCGGTGTAATATAATTTTTTGTTTATCTCTTCTTGTCCTTTTTTCCAAAGTAAATGGAATTTCATGTGTCGCAGGTGCTTTTTTGAGGTTAGGGGTGTAGTGATGTGAGGATTTATATGCATACGTATATAGTAGTGGGTATTGAAATATAATATTAGTTGAGGAACTTGTCTGAAAGTTGAAATTTAAGTAAGGACTCAAGGATATTTCATTCAATTTCTTGAAGGTGATTTTTTTTTTTGGCTGAAGTCAGCGTAATATTTTATATATTTTATATATTTTTTAATGTTATACTTAAATTTTTTCGTAAGCAAGAAAAGTAGTAAAGTAGTAGTAATATTGTTGGCGATTGGAATATCATTACAACCTCTATCATGACCACTGGAAGTATTTCTCATACGCTCCCTATGACAATCTTATACATCCCCACTGATGGCGGATGTTCGGGCTGCCATGGCACTAATCTCTTTGCGGAGGTTCTACTTCATAACATTCTTTGGGATCACTACTTTTATATAGAGCTCCCATCAGAATACTGTACTCTACTCTTTTCCGTTTGGAGTGCTTTTACACATTCCCGCTTCTACGCATGAAAACCCACCTCCACAGGGTGGTACTTTGTACTTGTCATCGCTGCAGACATAAAAATCAGCAAAGAGAGCTTAGATTTTGATGTCATCTTGTCACGTGGTGGTGCAACACCTATTTTTGCTTCGACTTTTGTGAGACTGCGTTATCCAGCATTGTTCAGCGCCTGCAGTGTGCTGTCCTCAGTCGTAGCCGGTATCCAAGGTTAATTTTGCAATTAAAGACAGATGGAAGGCTTTGCGAGAGTTAACACCTGCATTTATGTGTTGGGTACTCTGAACTAGATCTAGTGAAAAGGAAGTCAAATCGGAGTTAAAGGCAAGACCTCTCAGGTTATGAACGTTACGGAACCATAGCTTTTAAGCGCAGTTGGAGCATATCTAGTCACAGAAAGTCAGAGACGAAAAAGGTCAAACAAAGAATAATTTAGCTGACCATACTCTTGTCTCCTCTGGAAATGCGGATATTACGTGTTGCTCCATTCTGCGATATTTCCACCCATACCTATAACTTTTAGGCTATAGTAATTTCCAAAATCCCAGTTTTTTGGTAGGGTTTGCAATCTAAAAAATATATTTTTTAATCTTTTTCCAAAAAAGTTCATTTAACTCAAAACCACAGAAGTTTGTATAGATTTTCTTTACAAATACACTTAATACCTTCGTGATTTATTACTTAAAATGACCTTTCCACACTTTAAATCTTCATTTAATATTTAACACTGCTACACGTGTTTCTAGGGCAAAAGCGCGATGTCATTGCCCCAATTTATCAGTAACAAGGAAAACACAAAATAATATCATCAATCAATCCAACTAAGCTAGTTGAGTGACGCCAGCAGCGTTTTAGAAATAAACACTCAGCCCTACTTGAGCCGTGTGTGTTGATTCAGCACCTATAGTATATTTGAAATGACTTAAGCTTTAAAGTTTAAATAGAGATGTAAACAGCGCAGCTATTTGAAGGCTTTGTAGTGCGTACTACCATGCGGAGGGCCCTGAGTTCGCGTACTGAACTTCAGCATTTAAAATTATAGCAAAATATTAATCAATTTATATTTTCTAATTGCGGTTGCCCCTCGGTAGGCAATTTCACCGCCTCCGAATGGTCTGCCCAATCCACAAAAAGTAGAACCCATAGTCCGGCGCAACTCTCCTGGTATAAGCCTCCTCTATATCGCATATAAGATCCTATCGAGCAGATTGTGTTAAGGACCGGGAAGTCTAAAAGATGCGGAGGCATGGACTATGGCAACATCTAAATGGTCGACGTCGGGAGTTTTGGAGACATAGGTTTTCTGTAAATTTTATAGTTTTCTACGCATTGGGGACTAGGAACCGTGCCAGATATACGGCGACATTGACATATGTAGTTCAGCAAATCGACAGACAGCGGCTATGCTGGTTAGATCTAGTAGTCCAAATGGATGAGAACACTCAAGCTTTGAAGGTTATCGATGCAGTAAACGCCGTTGGAAAGACAAGGTTGAGAAGGAGCTGACTACACATGATGTAATTAGCCCCAAAGTAGTATGGTAAGCCATAGTAAAGTGAACTACCATTAGAGCAGTAGCGGACTAATATATTTAAACAGATATTTTTTGGTAATGGAAAGTTAGGTTGGGAAAAAGATACTGAGTGGAACCCAGTTCGTTATGATGGCACGAAGAGTAGACAAATTTTGAACGCTAGACCACTTTTCATTTCGTGAATCGCTTATTACCTTTCGAAAATCCCCAAGTTCATCTAATGGCAATGACTATTAACCGCTTCGGGTTGGTAAGCGTATGCGATCCTATTGTAGAAGTCTCAGTCTCCCAGGGCAGCTCACCAGAAAGTACATAGATGAGGCCATATATACTTCCAAGCAACTACGTCGGTGATGAGCCTAAGTCTTATTCCTCATAACTCCCAATAAGCGCTAGAGCTTTAATTTTTTTTAATTTTTCAAAGATATCTCAGGAGTTTTGTAGTCCGAGATCTTGTGTATTGGAATTTCATAACACGCCCCCATCAATCACAGGCTATGAAGGGTTAAGCACTTAATCTGTTGGTTCAAATCAGATCTCAAGATCAGTGAGTATCGTTTCAAAGCATTAATATGTATATACCTATTTATCCTATAATCGCATTACAGCGCAAATCGGCTTTGAAATTCCAAAGAAAATATGTCACCAGGTATTAGTAAAAAAAAGATCACAAAATAAAAAGCTAAGAAAAATGCTGTAAAATATGAGAATAAAAAAAATTCATGCAAAGTAAAAAATTCAAAATATAAAAAATGCACGAAGTAGGTAAACACCCAGTAATAACAAGTATAAGTGAAGATATAAATGTTGTAAAGGTAAAAAATAATAATAACAATGGAACGAATTAAACAATAGCAAAAAATCCCGCACCCATACAGTTGCACAAAAGGCCACAAATGAGGTTATAATTAGGCTTTTTTTTAGTTAATTGCAAAAACGTTTGTGGTAAGATGCCCATTCAGTCAGCGGCATTACAAATAGTTCCGTCATCATGCCTGGTTATTTTTTTTTTTTTTTTTTTTTTGTTCAATATAAGGGTTTTCAATTATTTCACTGCGTTCCGGATTTTTTTCTGCAAACCATTGGTCATTTTTTACCACATATTTACACTGTTATTCATCTTTTTCTGCATAAACAAACACTTTTTTTTGCAAATTTTTCTCTATCTCTTTTATTCGAGCTTCTGCGCTTTAAATTACTTTTTCGCATTCCTTTGTGCTCATAAATTTCACTCTCATTCGCAAACGACCTTTGCGGGGTGAAGTGTTTGTGGTGGCAAAAATCTAGCGCGCACTTGGCTATAAACCGGTAAATGCCAGCTCTTGGTTTACTGACTTAATATAAATAAATGTATATATATGTATATATGAACATAAATATATTTTTTAATATTGTAGGCATATACCTATGTATATATATGTAGGGTTTTTTTTTTAATTTTTTTCAAGTTTTACCAATTGAAATATTTGCAGCTTCTGTTGCTTTATTAAGGTCTTTTTGCAACTCGTTTTATGGCAGCGCTTTGTTTTATACGGCTTTTAGTTTTTATGACTAATTTTATTTTTAATGATTGTTATTGTTTTCCCCTTATTCTTCAACTTACTTTTATTTAGTTTGGTTTTATATTTTTATTTTATTTTATTTTATTTTATTTTATTTTTTCTTTAATTTTTTATTTTATTGTTGTTATATTTTCTCTATTTTTTTAATTCTATTTTGATTTTTTTAATTTTTATTTTTTTATTTTATTTTATTTAACTTTATTTATTGAACTAAATTTAATATTACTTTCATATATTTTATGTGATCTTATTTTTATAAATATACAT